CAGCCCCCCAATACACCTCCACAACCAAGGGAGGGAGTTTCTGAACCACGTGAACTTGAAACATGCCAGGCATGTGGTAGTCTTCTGTTCTGTTCGTGTTGGACTTGTACTTGCCTTGCTCTGGCAACCTGCGATGTGAAAGCAAAACTTCAGCAGCAACAAATCGAGTTCACGTAGGTTCAGCCCCAAAATCGAGATCATCATGCCAACCGGATAGCGAACCTGACTCTAGCCACACATGCCTTGCGTGGGTGTTTGCGATTCTCAGATGTTCAGCCCCACGAGCGCACAGTGTCTGCCAATGTCCTATCAACACCCACGAAACGCGCTCATGCAAGTACAAAAGAGCTGTTCCAGGAGTTTGGGAGGAATTGCTAAAATCATGACCTGTCCGCGCCCATTTCTTTGAGCAGCTGCGGGTTTGTGTAGAGAGGCCGCCCAATTTCCCACTTTGTCTTGCTTCGTTTTCTAGTTTGCACGTCCTAATTGCAGAGGGTTCCACACTCTGGAGGAGCTGCTAGCTCTTGTCATCAGCACATTCATGAAGCTCTGCGGGCTCTGCTCACGGGCTGACAACAGGCGCATTGCCCACGAGCAGAGCTTGCAGCTGCTGACGAAGAGGCAGCAGTGGGCTGAGGACAGGAGCGAGATCAGTGGCATACACCTGCTCCTGTCGTCAGCCCTTCCTTGAAGTCGTTGACAACTCCTTCATATCCTCTCCTTTTTGGGGTCCAAACACATTGACGTCTCCAACCGTGGATGGAAGAAGCCCTGCACCACCACCAATACCTGATACCCTAAGAAGGAGGCAGCATTCTTGGAGCCTAAGCCGTGCAAGATGTCCTGCATCCACCGAAAAACACCTCTCGCTGAGAAGCCTTCTTCTGAGAATTGCAAAACTACATGAGTGACTGACAATCCCATCGGGCTTAATCCGCACCTCCCCTGTCTTGGTGGGACAGTGATCGGCCCTGCCGCGGGCGGGGGAATGTGGTTCTTTGCGTTGGATTCAATTGCCAGGGAAGATGTTAACGAGCGCTTTGATATCATGCGAAACCACCAACCCTAAACCCTGCACGTCCTAGGACTGGTGTTATGGGCACTTCAGAGGATCTCGCGACTTTGTGGTCTGTGAAGGAGGAGTAACCAAGCATTTCATCTGCTTAGGTCCCCAAGCAAGCATGTTAAAGGAGCGGTGGATGGCTAAAGCATGCAAAGCACCGGTCTCGAAAAGGGCAAACATGGTAAGCCTCAGGGAAACTTGATCTTGATGCCTCTTGAGCTCACGGGTATCAATATATAACTTACCACTCCCTGAACCCTAAAACCCTACAGGCCATATGAATGATATCGCTGTTCATGAATGAGGGTGCTTCTCAAAACCAAAGTCTCCCTTTCTCCCCCTCACATGATCTTCTGTCTTGTAGGAAAACCCCCCCAAAAGGGGCCCATGGCATGGAACCCTAACCCACTTAGGGTTTAGGGTTCAGGGCGTAGGGGTTTAGGGTTTCTCAATCCCGCTGTGATGTCTTTATCTGCGGCCTGTTGTAGCCTGATGAAGCATATTGAAACATTTGCAAAAGAAGCGTCCTTAATGTGGGCCCCCAAAAAAGCAATGATTTGAAACATCCGTATCAATCTCATCATAAGCTTGCAGAAACTTTACACCTTCAACCCCTAGACTCAAAAAACCTCAACCCTCAAGCGCTTAACCCTAAGACCCTTAAAGCTTAAACCCCTAAGAACCTTCAGCCCTGAACCTTTCAAGCCCTGAACCCCAAACCCTTAAGCCCTAACCCTAAGACCCTCAAGGCCTAAGACGCCTGAGCCCTAAACCCCACCCTCAAACCCTAAGACCTGTAAGACCGAAACCCTAAGACCCTTAAACCCTAGACCTGTTAATCTCTACAAGTAAAAACCCTAAGACCCTTAAACTGTAAACCGATTGTCAAGGCCCGCCTTTATCCACCAGCCGGGCCCTTTTACGGGGGCTCTCCTGCGAAAGAGATCTTGGTCCGATCATTTGGGGTGTCCATAGCAGGAATGGAGAAGAAAATAGAAACTGTTAGGTTTAGGGCTTAGGGTCAGCGGAACTTAGCAAGTAGGTTGATAATGCGGCCAGCTGGGGCTGTTATATGGGCTCTAAGGTTATACGGAGACTTACTCAGTCCCCCTGGCCCTCCATGTAAAGAGGGGGATGCCAGTATACATCCCAATATACTGTAACGCTCATTTTAAGGACACTCAAAAGCAAGAGAGGTCAAAAGTATGACCTCCAACTCTAGGCTTCGGTATACCTTAGGTGGACCCCCCACCCAGTAATAGTGACTATAGGGGATAATAGAAATTATATTATGGTCCTGGTATATTCCTAGTATACCACTATTACAGGGTGGGGGGTCCTCCTAAGGTATACCTTTGAGGACTGTTCTGGAGTTTGGGACACGCTACAGAAGGCCCGGTAGCAACTTTTTGACAACCTGCCATGGTGGCTCATGTGGCGACGAATATGTACTTACTTGTAGCGGTCAGTGTACTGATGATACGAGTAGAAGCTACATAAGCAACACTAACAGCAACCTTGAACCTTAAGGAAGCAGACCAGCAACACAAGAGAAGAACTCGGAAGTCCAGCATCCAACCCCGAAATTCCCTAAAGCTCCTGGGCGCGCTGAATAGCAGTCAACACGTTTGCTGTAGCTGACTTCAGGATTTCAGCCACTATCCTGGAGGACCAGAGTTTGGGATTGGGGCAGCTGACTTTACACAGCTCGAGTATGGGCTCTTGCCGAACTAGCCGAATTTGATGGCAGTAGGCGCATGACAAATGCTCGCACGATTGCTAGTTTTGTTCTGGCTAATGAGCTGGAACCAGCAGGGTGTTTAACTCTTGTCACGTGTCCGGACTCTTGACTGAGTCGTATCAACCAAGTCGCAGCAACTCTCAGCGAAGCAACAGCAGCCCTCAAGCTAGCCAGGGTGTTTCCCATGGCTTCGGCTGCCGCGCCCCGTTGTAAACTAGCCGTGTCTGGGTAAAGTTAAGTGAAGGAAGGCTTCCACAACCTGCAGGTGATTTTGGCTTGGCTCCAAGCCGTGTTGAGTGGCTAGTGCTGTTTTCCAATCCACGCAAGTATGGTCTTCACAGCTGCGGACAGACGCGCGCAACTTCCTATAACAACCCCAGTGCTCAGGCTTGGTGTCATGGCCTAACTTCAACTGTAAACCTTCTGCCCAGCATAATGCACCAAATGGAGAGCGTCAGCGCTTCCGCTTCGGCTAGGCTCATTCGTGGGCAAAGCACGTGCGCAGCAAGTTGTCTTCCATAACGGCCGGGAGAAGCTGGATATCCGAGATAAAGATCTACGATGGAGCTGTGTCGGGCAAGCCATTGACCTGCCAACCATCTGCAGCACGCCATGCGCTTGTCAAGAGAGGCAAGATGCAAGGGCCATTACTGTTACAAGAGCCATAGATGCCCTGCAGGCGCAAAGCGACATGGGACGCGGCAGATGCTTCAAGATGAGCTTTCTGGGAGTTTGCTGTCAAATTCATATACTGGAGTCAAGATTACTTCTTGACAAACAGAGTGCCAGCAATCTACCCAGACTCATGATGCCGGCAGCTCCAAAGGGAGCTTGTGGCAGAAAAACATGCGACTCATCTGACAACCACTCTGCGGCTTCAGCTGGTCAAAGAAGCAGATTACCTTTGCTGCCACAACTTCGTCCTTGGATCAAGCAGGAGGGCTTGGCACGGGCTGCACTACCATTCGCGGTTGAGGGCCCAAAGATTACTGAACGTTAGCCCTGGGGTATCTGGAGGTTCGTCATTCTTGAAATCCTGCTCCGCCACAGCGGGTCCTCATGCCTACATTGCCTACATGTTCCTGAGGCGTGAAAATCTCTCGGCGGGAGAATCCTCTGCAACTGTTTGCTGAAGTCTTCTTCGTCTTCTACTTGTACCATTGAATGAAACGTTGGAATGATAAATGTCAAGTTCGCCGCCCCCGCCCCCCCCCCACCCCCCAAACAAAATTGTACGTGTAGGTACAGCTTTGGCGGCCATGAGTAGACCAGGAAGCAATGAGTTCTGCGATGTTCATGTCAACTGTTAAGTTAGGGGATAGCAAGAATTCAGGGCTTGGGACTGCTGTTGCCCAGACCATGACTGCAGCTGAGCAAACTTCTGAACTCAAATTTAAACCCCGAAACTTGATATCATTCTGGAGTGTGTCCTGGCCAATTTCTAGGAAAAGTTAAACTGCCGGCCATGCCTCTAACTGGGGTGTTCATTGGTCTCACCCTCGGCTGACCATCATCACCATCACCATCATCCTCATCATCATCATCCTCATCATCATCATCCTCATCATCATCATCATCATCTCTACCATCATGACCATGATCGTCATGGTCGTTGTCGTGGCGAGGGTTGCGCTTGGAGAGGAATCATATAAGGTTATAGAAAGTTTATACAGGGTTCATGGTCTTTAAAGCACGTTCTTAAAGGGTTCAAGAGGTTTTGTGGGGGGCTTCTAGAGGGTTAATGAAAAAATTTTAGAATTGTATACAAGGCGCATGGAGCTACAGGGCTTCTAAAGGTTTTAGGGACTTGTATAGAACGTTTGCAGAAGGTTCATAGCTTCTATAGAAGGCTTATCCAAGACTAAAGAGGTTTATCCAGGCTTCAGAAAGAATATGTTCGGGGCTTATGTAGCAATTCCCCCACCCCCTATAGGGTCAGCGCAGAATCCGGAGCGCGGACGCATACAGGGTTTAGGGCTATGCAGGATTGAGGTTTTGGGCATGTTCAGAATGCTGGATGCTGATGCTGTTGTTGATGATGATGATGATGATGACCATGTTGGTGACGACGATGATGATCGTGACCATGAGGCTGATGAGGACTACAGTGCTGATAATGACGATGACGACGGTGATGATGACAACGACAGGGAGGACGAGCAGCGCAGCGCTACTTGATGCCGTGGCACAGCCTCCTTATTTCTTCTCAAAGAAGCCGTCGTCCTGAAAGCTGACTTTGCACACCGCACACTAACAATGCCCGACAGCGTGCCAGTCCATCTTCCGGCCCTCATGAAGGCATAATTGCATTGTGGCGGATTTCTCCAACCTAGTATACCCCCATGAGAAGGACCCCACAAGGGAAACCCATAATTTCGAAGAAGCTCCGAAGACCTCACGTCCACAGATGAAAGAACACCCTGTAGCACACACCAGCGGTCTGTAGGCAGCCTCATCCTAAACATTCCTCAAGCAATCTGGCTTTGGGAGCCAAGATCTATAGCAGTCTCAAAATTCAAAATGTCAGAAACCACAGTAGTCGCACTGGCATAAAACCACACAATCACGGTAGCAGTATGTCAGTATGCTTTTGATACGGACAGTTGTACTGATGAGTGTCAAAAGACTGGACATCAGGGCACGCATGTCCTAAAACTAGCATCTACCCAAGAAAGACAAAATCGGGAATTTGTCTTAAGCACATTTCTCAGGCGCAGAGTTACCAAAGGGACCTCAACGAGATACAGACATCCAGTCTGCTTCGCGTAAATCCTTAAGCCTCTAAACCCCCAAAACCATAAACCGCTTAACCCTGAACCTCTACAGCAAACCTCGAGATCCTAAAGCCACTGCGCTTCTTAGCCCCCAAACCTCTCAACCTGAAGGCGGCTCCTCATGGAAGGCCGATGTGGGCATGCCAGACGGCAGCTTCACAATGGCCCAGGGCGCCCTGTCTTCGAAGGCAATCCTGGGAGCAGGCATTCCTAAAGGGCGTTCCCACGGTCCCTTTGCAGTGAAAGTAGGTTCGGGGTTTAGAGTTGAAATGCTAGAACAAAGGTCATGTCTGATTTCGAGGGGTAGAGACGATGAAGAGCCTGCAGGGCCTTGCAGGCTTATCACTTCTAATTTGAGGACACTGCTTCTGACCAACGATCATTCAAAAAGTGGAAGGCTTTAGAAGGATGTTGAGCTTAGGGTTTGCAACTTGGCATTTGTGGTCTTGAGTTCAAGGTTCGGGATGTAGTTGTTTTTGCCTTTTCTCGAGGCTTCGGCGCTCCATCTCTGAATGGGAACATGTCCAAGGCTCCAAATGTTAAAAGGCGTTGACAGGTTTGGGATCTTCCTCGCCTTCTTCAGGAAACCTCCCCATGGAATGAGGTTTGGATGTTAGCATTTTCAAGCTGCAACGAGCTGGTCGGGATCGCGGCCTACCACTCAATATGTTGGAGTGTTCTGATGTCACGGTTCTGGTGACAATCATTACCCTAACTCATCTTAGAGTTGTCTTGATCATAGCTGTAAGAGTCAGCGCATGACTACTGATGCTATTGCTATGTCTCAGGTGAATATGTAACCTCCAATGCTCTTGTGATCAGAGCCAACCATTCACTGCTCTCTGCTGTTCAAGGCATATCTCATGTTATTCGGCAATGTCCAACCCAAAAGGTATGCAGCAGGTTCCTCATCTAGGGACACTGGAGAAAGCGACCACCGCTTCTGCGAGGCACGACTTGCATTCTTATAACACTGATGAAGACTGGCTTGGGTCGGCACCACCTTGAGCATCAACATACCAGTGCCATCAGAATAGTGGCAGCGGAGAATGTCAAAGCTACGGGTAGCAAGGAAAGCTGTGGGTCTTCTTAAGACTGAGTTGTCAAGATAGGGTCACATTAGGATGCCCGACAGAATCTGATGATGAAAGGATTGTTGGGGTCCCTCTTCAGTCATACCAACAGAAGCTGCACAGGTCTTACAAGCGGCTGGTAGATGGTAGTAAGCATGGGCAGCTTGTCGCACAGGTTGTGCTTCTGCATCACAGGCCAGATCTCCTGTCACCATCACCAAGAAGACACGCGCCAAATGCCGATCATTGCAGCCGAAAAGACGGCGCACTAAGAATGGCATAAATGAGAACAGCACGTATATGTGCGAAGTTCTTACCTCAGAACAGTGCAAATGAAGCAGAAGAAGAAGAAGAGGAACTGCGTTGGGAAGCCAAATCACCATGTGTGGTCCCCGACTTCGCTCCTGGGCTGTCAGAGTGCCTTGGAGCTTTTGACCTCCAAGCAGCTCCTTCTCAATCTGGTCCCAGCCTCAGGAATCATCACACACAAACACACCCTTTTACGCAAGTCTACATTCCAGGCATAATTCTTTCTTACGACATCACTGCATGTGATGTCATTCCTGAGTCTCTTTCATCTTAACTCTGGCTTTTTCTGGACATGTCTGAGGCAAACTTCCAAGAGGCTTCCAGGGAAGTGTGCGCTCCCTTGCATAACAAATCTGGCCACTGCACCCACAACAGCTTTAAGGGTACCTTTGAGCGGCCAATATAGCAGGTACACATTCTGGCGTCCCAGATTCCTTCGCAGCACTTCTATCATTGTCTTCGTTGGGCTGTGGATGATAGAAGGCTCACTGCTCCCCTGCTCTTAAAGCAAGAAATACTCATACTCGTACCATTGCTGTAGCACTTGTAGTCACAGAGGTGAACACACACACACTGCTTGTTGGGACTAGAATCCCTTTATAAGCCCTATATACATAAATATTCCCATGTTTCCTGCTAACCACCAGTGCATCTGGTACCGATAGTGGCAATAGGCATAGTGGTGCTCACACAGCTGCATCCGCATCGGCACCATCATCGTCATCATCACCACCACCACCACCACCACCACCACCACCATGATCATCATCATCATCATGTATCACAAAAGTAGTTCCCAAGACGACACTGCAGCTGAACTACAATGAGCTCCGAATCGAGAATCAGAGCCCTGGCATCAATTTGCTCAGCTGCTGCGGTTGTACGGAGGTTTGCCAATAATTGGAGCAGGACATGCAGAAGGCCTGGGGTGTGAGACTGCTTAACATCCTAGTGCTTGTTGATAAAAGGGGGTCCTGTAGATCTTGCATTGATCTTGGGATGCCTGCATGCTTGTTTTCGCTGCCAAGGAGCTCTTGGTACCCTTCGCCTTGACGAAGGCTTCTGCGCACTTTCGATTCCTGATCATGCTGCAATTATTCCCCCTAGTGCCCCGACTACCTGAGAAATTATGATGGAAAGAGTCAAACTCCTAGGTCCTGTGAACCATTACAAGTCCCCTGCATAAGATGGGTCACCACTGGGCTTGAATCTGCAATTCCGAAGTCTCCTGATACCATCAGCCCTAACCTTAATCCCGTTCAGTGCATTCCTTATGGAGCCATGGCTTCCAGAGTGAACCGCATTACACGGAACCATCCCGATCGGTCTGGGTGTCCCTTTATACCTGTAGGACTAACCCCTGGAAGATACTGCAGGCTAGCCTTGCATCTTCCAAGTCTTCCAAGGACCAATTGCTGAGGAACAACTCTATTGGACACACTGGTAAGAAGGTTTAGGGTCTAGGGCTTAGG